GCTAAGCCTGGGCTTATGATTCAGGCTTCTCACCCCTCCCAAAGCCCTGCACCCTGGGAGCCTTTGTTCTTCTGGCCACAGACAACTCAGCCCATTAAAGAACAACCATAATCCCTCGCATGCATAACTTTCCATGGGCAAAAAAAAATTAGTCTAGTTGCCTGGGTTCAAGGTCAGCAGCCTCCTGTGAAAAGAGCCACCAGACACTAATCTTCACTCCACATGTTAGTTGTGACAGTTACTGGGCTGCCTGTTTCCAGCCTGGTAGCCACACTCTGGCACACACAAATGCTGTTGACTCTCGCGCTTGCCAACACCAAGAACCATATTCTTGGCCTTTTGTATCAATACGGGTTTTTGTTTTGATAAGGACAGGCAGCCATCGTTCTATTTGCTCCCTTGTGGACTTGCTTTTGTACCACATATACAGTGTGACCTTAGATTGGAGGTCTTTGGTCAACAGGATCTTCTCAGTGAGGTCCTCCCAGCCATTTCCCTGGCCTCCACCCCTTATTCCCAGCACATTTCCTTTCTTGCTTCCCTGGTTTAGGCTCTTAACCTTTATACACAGCGCCCTAAATATTTTCTCATTTTGTTGTATGTCTTGCTTATCATTCCCCGCCCTGCTAGAAGATGAGCTCCAGAAGGTCAGGCAGTCCAACCACTTTTGCTCATGATTCTCTCAGGTGCCCAGAAGTGCACTCAGCACAGGGTAGATCCTCCAGGTGGATCCTCCACGACTGTTTGATGACCCGGATGACAGTGATCCATCACCCGTGACAGTACTTGCACACCAGAAGTACGATGCAAACCACCCAGGTCTCTTCTTTAACCACAGATACAAAGTCCTCTGGCAAAGAGCAAGGGGAGAAATAAAGAACATGGGAGAAACATGCATTTATCACAACGACACACAAATACTTGAGACTCCCAACTTGCTCCATAATACTAAGAATTTAGTATGCATCCTACCTCTCTGAAATACATGGACCACTGACCAAAAGAGGGGGGAAAAGAAAATACCCTAACCCCCCCCCAAAAAAAATCCATATTTTGGAATTCTAACCCCCAAGGTGATGGTGGCATTTGGAAGTAGGGCCTCTGAGTGAGTTGATCATGAGAACGAGGCTCTTGTGATTGGGATCAGTGCCCTTTTGAAAAATAACCCAGGGACCTCATTTGCACCACCTGAGGATAATCAGAAGTCCAGGAGGCCCGTGCCAGACACCAACTCTGCTGACACCTTGATATTGCACTTCCCAGCCTTCAGAAGTGTGAAAGAGTCTCCAGCCAGAGTCTCCTGTACCCACATGCTCTCCCTCCCTGCCTGTGGACATGGTAACAGTCCATGCTCTTTCAGAAACCAAAAAATAATTCTCTGTGTGATTTCTAAGCCAACCAATTTATGGTAGTTTGCATAGCAACCCGAGCCCCCTAGGACGTACCCCAGCCCCAGCAATCCTTTCCCTGGCCTTCCTGTCCTCGATGCCTCATCTCCCTTAAGACACTTACATTTTATGGCCTATTGTTCAATCTCCTCCCTCAGCTTGCTTGTCCCTAATTCTTTTAGAAAAATCATCAACCTGGTTAAACAATAGTTTGCCTTGTTCAAACCTAAATCTGGACAGTTAACTCTGGCTAAGAAAACAAAGCAGGCAGACTGACTGGTCTCCCTTTAAATTCAAGACCATTAATGTCAAGTGTGACCTTAAAGACCATCGGCAATCACATCGAAATTTCCAGCCCATTCGCTTACCTACTCATGAAGTTTACATTGTCTTTTCTGAAATTCCCCATCATTCCCCTCTGTTTTCTCCACTGGTGACCTTTTATCCTACTTTTCTGAGAGAAATGAAGCCATCAGGAAGGACGACCAATAATTTCCAGGACTGTCCACACCCACCAGCAAGAGTCTCCCTGTACCCACCTGCTCTCCCTCCCTGCCTGTGGACATGGAGTGGACATGGTAACAGTCCGTGCTCCTTCAGAAACCAAGCCCTTCACTTGGGACTCAAACCTATGGCTGCCCCCGACTCACTCCACAATTTTTCTCTCCTCTGCATTGTCAAATTGTAAGTATGAAAATATGTGATTTTCAGCCTCTTTTCTAAAAAAAAAAAAAAAAAAAAAAAAAATCTCAAGAGCCTTGTCTCCCTACTGTGTTTGTTTCATTCTTTTTCTCCCCTCCAATGAGCCTTCCCTCATTCCCATGCCCTTCTCAAGGGAACTGATGACCTCCTGGTTGGTCAATGCTTCTATCTCATTCTTCATCACATCGGCAGCTTCTGAATCGTCTGTTGTAATTTCTGTCATTGGCTTCTGATTATTCGGACCCTTTTTGATGGCTACCTTTGCCGGTTCCTTCTCTTCTTCCTGACCTGTTGATGTTGGAGAGCCCCAGGGCATGGGAAGCTGTCTCTTTTCTATCTACACTCAGTGCCTCCATGCAGGAAACCTGGAGACACTGCCCAGATCCTCGTTAGACTATGGTCATGAGGAAGCCTCCACCTGCGGCTCCCCCATATCTGTCTCAGCTACACGTAGCAGCAGCATCCACCATGTGACTGAGTGAGGCAGGGAGGGAGGACTGGCCTCCACAGAACAACTGAGAGGGAGGGGTGCTGTGTCAGCTCCAGAGCTCCCTGGTGGGCTGCCCCACATACCATTTGACTTCTCTGCCCAGGCCTGCTTCTTCCCCCTTCCTTCTGAGAAGCTGACCTCTAATAAATATCTTCCACCTAAATGACATTTTCTTGCCCTGCTTCTGGAGAAATCAACCCACAACCTGGGGGATCCCAGGCAATCTCATGACTCTGAATACCATCCACATGCTGGCAACTCTCGGTGTGTGTCTCGGGCCAGCACCTCTCCTGGGGATACCCACCTCTCCCAGGAATATCCCGGGGATACCCAACTGTGACCCATACTTCCCTCTGGGTGTCTTCCAAGCACCTTCCCAACTCAGCTGAGGCACTTAACACAGGCCAAAATACAGGGAGCTGACTCGACCTCTCTTTCTTTCACAAACCACATAGAAGCAGTCAGAAAATTCTGTTGTGTCCTCTTTGCAATATGTGCACACCGAAATCTCCTCTCACCACCTCTGCTGCTCCCACCACAACCTCAGCCACAGCTGTCTCTTCTCTGGATTACACTGGGGCTTCCTAACAACCATCTCCACTTCTGTTCTCACCCCTCTACCCTAGAGATCTAGAGGGATCCTTTTAAAGTGTCAATAGATCACATCACTTCACTGCACGGGGGAAAGCCAGGCTCCTCAGAGGGACCTACACAGTCTGTCACCCCGCCGGACCCCTCTTTCTTCCTCTGCCTTTGTCTCCTACTCCTTCTCCCCCACCCCCACCCCTATTCATGCCACTGAAGCCACACTTGCCTCCAGATGTTGCTCTTTCTGGAACATTCCTGCATACTTTCAGTCTTCCTTCGAATGGTACCTTGTCATATTCTTTGCCGACTCGCTCCCGTTTCCCCCAGAACCACTGTACATCCAGTATAGCTCCACTTTGCCTTTCATCTCAGTAGCACTAACCATCTTTTATACACTACATCATTAAGTTAAATTTAATTAGCTAATATAAAGTGAAGAAATGATAATGAATAATTTATCACCAATAACAAACAATTGTTCAGTGTTTAATGGTAATTCACCAAGAGAAGGTTCTTCATCTGCTGATCACGGAGGAATTCCAAGTACCTCGGACAGTGCCTAGCACACAGGAAAACCCAAGAATAAAAACACTGGTTGAGTAAATAAACCATTTCAGTTTAGCTGAATGAGGCATAAAGGTCAAAGATATAAAGATATGAAGAAAGAGAAGCTAAGGGACATTGCAAACCCAGAGAAAAAGTCCAACAGGCAGGAAAAAAGAGAACTGGGCGAGGAAACACAGACTGGAAATAACCCACCTGTGCAAAAGAAACCAATCCACAGATTGAAGAAGTCCGACAAACCTCAAGAGAGTCAGTAAGAATGTTCTCCATGTCACAGTGGAAAATGCAGAGAGGGACAACCGTCACAGAGCAAGAGGAAGAGGGAGGTCTACAAAGAATCAACCATCTGGCTGAGAGCCCACTTCTTGGCAGGGACAAAAAACAGAAGTCAAGCTGATATCTTCTAAGTGTTTAAGCAAAATCACTGCCAAAGGGGAATTCTATCACAGCCGAAGTAAAGATAATTTGAGACAGAGATATAACAATGTTAGTAACAATTGTAGGAGGATTTATTTACCATAAAAATATCTTAAAAGCCAATAGAGAGTTAAAATACTCGAAAGCCTTTGGGCTATCTGGGAAGACATTAAAGTACACATTTTTATATATAAGATATGTGACCTAAGATAACTGGGGAATCTTGAGTCAGGGAGAGAATGTTAAAAATAGGATAGATGGCTGGGCACCGCGTGGTGCACCCCTGTAATCCCAGTGGCTCAGGAAGCTAAGACAGGAAGATCACAAGTTCAAGGCCAGGCTCAGCAACTTAGTGAGACCCTGTCTCAAAATTTAAAAAAATAAGTAAATATAAAGGGCAGAGGATGGAACTCAACAGTTAAGCACCCCCAGTTCAATTCCTGGTACAAAAAAAAAAAAAAGACAGACATAAAAGACAAAATAACTGATAATTCTGGCTACAGTCAGGGTAAAATCTTTCCAACTCATGAAACAACAAAGGGATATTACTCGGAATATGCTTTAAAATATAGATACATGATCCCAGTGGCTCAGGAGGCTGAGGCAGGGGGATTACAGATTTGAAGCCAGCCTCAGTAACTTACTAAGCAAACTAGTGAGACCCTGTCTCAAAATAAAAAAGACTAAAAAGGGCTGGGGATTAAGTGATTAAGCACCTTGGGATCAATCCCTGGTACAAATAATAATAACAAAAATAAAATAAGATATAGACAACCAAACATTACACATCAGTAAGAAAAAGACCAACTCCTAAATAAAAATATGATAAGTCCACACATGGTAGCACATACCTGTAATCCCAGTGGTTCAGGAGGCTAAGCCAGGAGGATCGCAGGTTCAAAGCTAGCCTCAGCAACTTAGGAAGGCCCTATGTAACTTTAGTGAGACCCTGTCTTAAAAACTAAAAAGGATTGGGGATGTAGGTCAGTGATAAAGGGCCATTGGATTCAATCCCTGCTACCAAAATAAATAAATAAATAAAAACATGATCAGTGATTTGAACAGGCAAATCACACAAGAGGACAGTCAAATGGGTAATAAACCTACAAATAGGAGCTAAACCTTGCTGGTTAATAAGAAAACATAAATTAAAACCAGAAAATCTACTTGTTAGCCGAACAGTTAGAATTAAAAAGAACTAATAAAATATCAAAGTTTCCCCAGGACATGAAGCTAACAGGAACTCCCTTACACAACCAGGGGGAGTAACTGGGTCAACCACTGTAGATACAATATCCTGGTTAAATATCACCAGGTCTGGTCTCTAGATACAATATCCTGGTTAAATATCACCCACGTTTGTTAAACATCTCAAAAGCCCAATGAATAAGACAGTTAATGACAAATAACTTACTTGTTACCAAGGAGATGCTTAGTTTATGATCATATTATTCTCCTACCATCATTCAAATGATGGTAAAACATACAATCATAGACTCGGATGACCCTTCTTTGAGGAATATTGTCAAGTAAGTATATAATGGATGGATGGATGGATGAATGGACAGATGATGGATGGACAAATGTGCATATATATTTAGTGTGCATATGTATATATGCATGCACGTGTGCACACATACATATGTATCACGTGTGCACATATATATACACAGCCAGTATAAGAATACAGTCCATCCTGTGACTTTACTGAAAAATGAAGGAAGCATTTAACAGGGGGCTCAAAAACCCCTGGCATCACTGGAGGAGATAAGCAACGAACCTGAGGCTTCCAGACCTAGGCACCAAAGAGGAAGTAGGAAGGGGACGATACGACTGTCATACCTCACACGAAGCCCAGAAATTCAGGCCATCTACCTAGTGTTCACCTTTCTCCTCACTGTGACTCACAGAGCCATTACCCAAGGATATGGCAACAGATACTTTTAAAGAATGTCGTCTGTCACCCCTGGGCCACAAGCACAAACTCTTCCTTATCTGCAGTGGGAGGCACCTCGCAGCTATATTTCCTAATTAGGATCCATCCCATGGAAGAGGTTCTCTGATGGGTGTCTTCGCACAGCATTGGCAGTGGGAGTCCTTCCTTTCCCCCTTGATTTTGGGGTGTTTTTCTCTTACAGCACCTCCATACTTTCCTCTCCCACCATCCCTAACCACTAGCATGGGCACAGGATCCAGCCTAGGGTCACTGTTGAGAGTCAAGGCCCTGAACACAGAGATTGGCCCAGAGGTGAATGCCGCAGTCTGGCTGGGCACAATCAGGAGCCACTTGTCAAAAGAAACTAACTTTATTTTTAGAACCACACACGCCAAACAAAACAGCCTCTCAGGAAAAACCCTCAGAGCCTCAACTGCCACCACCGGCTTTCCACAAGCCTCTCTCTCCCACACAAGCTTCTCTCCACCTCCCACAATCCTCCTGCTCTTGAGGCCGATTGGCTGGGTCACGTGGGCGGAGCCAAAAAAGTCCCCCAATGAGCAGCTCCGTGGTCTGAAAGGGCAGGGAAACAGCCCAATGAGCATCACCACAGAGGAGCCAATCAGCTAGATGTTGCTGGGGCCGAGGAGCCAATCATCAGCCGGCAGCTGGAAGTTTGCTGGCAGCTGGAAGTTTGCTGGGGCCCCTTCAGCTGTGGCTCTCAACATCTCCCCCTCTCTGTTTAAACAACAAGCATGTGGCTTAGGGACCGTGCCTGCCTTAGGTTGTCCAATAGTACATATGGTCCTTAGGTTGGTACCATTGCAATTGGATCTTACCCGTCACTGACTACCGGTCCAGTATACAGCCACACCTGTGGAGAGGTCTTTGTACCAGCGGGGGGGTGAGGTTCTTTGCCTCACCTCTGTTGGCCCCCAAATTTTAGCTGGACGATCATGACAAGCAGAAGGGAGGAAGATACACCAAGCCAATTGACGGCTCCTTTTGGAAAAATTGGACCACCAATGACATCATCAGCAAAAATACCCCAACACTACCACAAGTCGCTGCACCAACAGATAGTTCACAGTGCATACAGGTGAGCTCACAATGTGTCCAAGCAAGTTCTGCAAGCAGTTCAGTGATGGCTATTGTAGAAGCTGTAGATTGGTTTTATCTTTGACTTCACCAGCACTGGGATGAAGATAGGAATTCTGGCAATAATGGCTAAAGAAAAAATTATGTAACATTACAGAAGGCACTAAAAGAAAACAATTTTCTTAACAATTTACATTATCTTTAAGAGAATTATTAAATATAATGAAAAGGAAAGGTGAAAGTAAACAAACAGATCTGTTAACCTTCTTTTTTGTTTACATATTAAAACAATCCTCAACAGTTGTTTACCCAATTTAAATTAAACCATATAAATCACGTGAAAAAAAAAATTTTGGATCCATTTTATCATGAGCGCTCATCATATATGATATATGGACATACATACATTCAAACATATAACACAAAACACAAGTGTGCACACATAATATAATACATACAACACATAACATTATAGTAAAGGCCTTATAACTTTTTACAGGTGAAATCTCCATTGCAATGTTTAAAAACTCTATAGTCAAAAAATAGAACTGATCAGCAAAACATTAACCTAGGTCTGTATGAGCTCAAAAAACAAAATAGAACTTCATGATATGGCAAAGGGCAATAATAAAATAGATATTGAAAAAAGCATCCTGGTTCTGTTGCAGATGTAAGAATAGCCAAACTGGAGTTTTGGATATCAGTTGTTATGGATTTGAGCCAAATCATCTTCTTTTTGGTCTGTAGAAATCGCTTTAGTTAATCTTTCTGGAATCCAAATCGGCTGCTGTTCTCCCTGTGGAAACACATAAACAGACCCCCGACTCCAGACAATCACTGGGTCAGGACCTTGGTTAATCTCTCTGGAATCCAAATCGGCTGCTGTTCTCCCTGTGGAAACACACAAACAGACCCTCGACTCCAGACAATTACTGGGTCAGGACCTTTCCATTGTCCTGTTAGAATATCCTTCCAAAGTACCTTGGGCTTATGCACATTTTTTGGACACATATGCCTTTCCGCAGCACTAAGTCCTGATGAATCCAAATTTAAAAAGTTTAGAGTAAAAAGGGTTATTTTAAGTTTATCTTTGGGGACTATATACCCCTTCCCAATTCCTTCTTTTTGCTTTAATAAGTACATTTTAATAGTTTGATGAGCTCTTTCAACTATGCCTTGTCCCTGTGGATTGTATGGGATTCCTGTTATATGAGTAATGCCAAATGTTGAGCAAAATTGTTTAAAAGAGGTAGAAGTATAACCAGGGGCATTATCTGTTTTTAACTGTTTTGGAACACCCACAGTGGCAAAATTTTGTAAGCAATGAGCTATAACATCTTTAGTTTTTTCTCCGGCATGAAGGGAGCCCATCAAAAATCCAGAAGAAGTATCAACTGTAACATGCAAATATTTTAATTTTCCAAATTCTGGCAAGTGTGTGACATCCATCTGCCAAATATGGTTAGGTATCAATCCTCTAGGATTGACTCCAAGATTAACTTGTGGTAAAAAGGTCACACAATTTTGACATTGTTTTATTATTTGTCTAGCTTGTTCCTTAGTTATTTTAAAACGCTTTTGTAAAGTATTAGCATTGACATGGAACTTTTTATGAAAATTTATAGCTTCTTCTAGTGTAGAGAAAATATGTATGTCATGTGTAGTTTTATCTGCTAAATCATTGCCCAAACTAAGGGCTCCAGGCAATCCTGTATGTGCCCTGATATGTCCTATAAAGAATGGATCTTTTCTGTCCCAGATTAGACTTTGTATAGTGGAAAGCAAAGAGAAAACAGTAGAAGAAGGGGAAATCCTACCAGCATCTTCAAGAGATACTATAGCATTAACTACATACTGACTATCAGAAAATAAATTAAATCGTTATTGGCTACTCAGAGAACTTCCTTGGGAGTCAGTCTTTTAAACGTGAAGGTGTCAGCCTAGAAGTGCTAACAGCAAGCATTTTGCTTGGGTCAAGCTGACCTGAGGAAACCTAATCTGATTCCTTCCCCACATCCAGCTTTTCCCTGATCCTCACCAAAGCAAGTACAATTTCCACTTTAGCCTTCAAGCAACTTGAGTTTCTGATTCTGACAACAAAGAGTTCTAATTAATATTTCCAAGAGTGTTTTTTTGTAAATAATTATGTTGTTATGAGCATTATTTTGCAGGGTTAAGAAGCAGAGATCTGCCCTATGATTGACAGTCCTCCTCTATTCCACATATTTGTGTGAAATGTTTTGCCAATCCCTAAGCTTTCTCTGATTATGTCTTTTAAAACTGTACCTTCTGGCCAGGTGCCCTGGCACACGCCTATATTCCCAGCAACTTGGGCTGAGGCAGGAGGATCTCAAGACCAAGACCAGCCTGTGAAACTTAGCAAGACCCTGTCTCTAAACAAAATTAAAATGACTTGGGATATAGCTTAGTGGTATGAGCACCCCTGGGTTCAAGCCCAGTGTTGGAAAAAAACAAACAGGCTGTACCTTCTGTTTCTTCTCCTTGTTTAACATCCTTATTTATTTCTTTATTCAATCCTTCCTTTCTCTTTTCTAAATTCTGAACAATGACATAATTAATATTTTAGGTTTTTCTCTCTTCTATGAGAATGCTGATCACCCCCCAGCTACAAATTGAAAATGGAACGGCAGCTAGAGATGTCTTGCAGCCTCCAGATTACAAGTTCAGAGCTTTTCCAAAGAAAGCTCTCTGGTTTTGAGGAAACTTTGGTTGCTTGTGGCAACCATCGGAAGTCTCTCTGAAACCACACAACATGCAGTGGAACCTCAGGAAAAAAAAAGCCTCTTCCTGTTGATTTGCTGAGGCATTTTGCTTAAAGAGATATTGGCAGTGTTCAATTTCAAGAAAGAAACAGCTTGAGCACAAACTATAGAGCAAAACAGCCCACGATGACTCCACGGAACACACACGCCCACTTGAGTCATTTGCACTGACTCTGTACATTTCCGTGTTATCTCAAGGAATAAAGTATGTAATTTCAGCATTCTACAGAAAGGTAAAAATGCATGCACTACTCATTAGCTTTCTTAAGTAATTCCATGGTGAGCTTCACAGTATCCCCCGTGCCCAGGGAAAGATTAGAGGTCCCAGAACTACATTGTTTTGCTTTTCTGTGGGCCACCGACAATAAAAGTATCCCAGGTGAAGTAGATT